TGTAAGGAGTTAAGAGGGTTAGGGAATGACCCAACCCTTGGACAACTGGGCCTCAACAATTATTTTCTCTCAGGGAAATAAGGAGTTTGAAGTACATGATACTGGATCCTTCTAGCCTTTAATTGAATAAACAAGTTATGAAAAATAAAAACACTTGAGTAATGAGACATACTGATATACTGTGATTAATCATTTCAACTCTGTAACTAGTTTTTCTATCAATAAATTAAAGTGATTAATTCACCCTTTTACCTTAATGTATTTTCAATTGCTTTCTTCTTGTTTTCTCAATGCCAAAGTCTATTGCTGTCTTTTAAGACTATATTCATCCTTCATCTCCTCCCTCACTTATTCAATCACTCATTCAGTTACTATTTTGTTATACCAGGTACAAGGATGAACTAGTATACAAAGCACTGAGAATTCAAGGGTAAACAAAGCAGACATGGCCCCTGCTCTCTTAAAATCTATAGTCCAACAGAGATGGCCAACATTACAAACACATATAAAATTTCAATTATTATTTCAGCAATGCTAAGTACTAAGATGCTATGAGAACCTATAAATAGGGGGATCTGATCAAGTCAGAGAGATTAGAGAATGCATCCTTGAAAAAGGGACCCTTAATTTTAACTCCATAGACAAGTAGGCCTTAACCAAAAATAGAAGGAAGCAAAAGTAATCCATGCAGGAGAATAGCACAAAGGCCCTACAGTGAAAGTGAACATGTTGAACATGAGGAACTAAAAGAAAAGTCAATGTGTCTGAAACGAAGGGGGGTAATAATGTACAAAGAAACTAGAGAGAAAGGCTCTATAATCATGAAAGGGCTAAAGGCAAGGGACTGATATGACTGGATTTGTGTTCTATAAGGATGACTGTGACTGCAATGTGGACATAGATTTGAAAGACAAAGTGGTGTGTGAATTAGGCGGCCATTAAATTAGTTCAGGAAAGAGAAATCATAGGTAAATCAGAGTACAGGCATACTTTTATTGCACTTCGCAGATACTGCATTTTTTACAAACTGAAGGCAAGACCCTCCATAAGCAAGTATCACTTTAATGCAGTGATCTGGAATAAACCACAATATCTCCAAGGGATGCCTATATGAACTACAGTGGAGGAAAGACTAGATAGATTTTTAAAGTATTTAGATAAAATGAATAGGTTTGGGTGATGGGTTGTGTTTGGGAAGTGTATTAGTTATCTATTGTTACATAAAAACAAATTACCTTAAAACTTAGCAGTTTACAATAAATATAATTTCTGTGGGCCAGGAATCAGGGTACGATTTAGCTGTGCCTCTGCCTCAGGCATAATCATAGACTGTAGTCAAGATGTTGACCAGGGATGCAGTCACTTCAAGGCTCAACTAGGCAAGGGTTCACTTCCAGGCCCACTAATGTGGCTGTTGACAGGCCTCCAGTCCTCAAGGAACATCAGTTGCTTGCCACATGAACCTCTCCACAGGGCTACTCACAGCACAGCAACTTGCTTCCTTCAGAGTGAGGACAGAGAAGGGGAGGGAAATCAGAGCAAGGGGGTGAAAGAAGGCAGGCAAGAAGAAAATCAGTCTTAGAAATGACATCTCAGCACTTTTGGCATTTTGTATTCATTAGAAGTGAGTCACTAGGTCCACTCCACATACAGGGGAGATTCCACAGAGGGCATGCATACCAGGAGATGGAGATCACTGGAGTCCATTTTAGAAGCGCCTACTATGCCGAGCAAGGCAGAGGAGACATTGTGATATTAATAAGATTGCGAAGAATGGAAAAGACCCAGGTTTGGAGAAGTTTTATTTTGGATGGTGAGTTTACAAGGACAAGGTGCCTTTAATTCAATCAATAAATTTGTGTTTATAACATACCTACTGTGTACTACACACTACTCTAGGAAATGAGATATAAAGATGAACACAGAAAAAGTTTCCTACCCTCATGGAATTTACCTTCTAATAGCTGAAGACAGATAATAAACAAACAAATAAAATTCAGATAATGATAAGGGGTAGAAAGAAAAAAACATAGGATAAAGTTGTAGGTTTTTCTTCAGCTATGGGGTCAAATACCCTTTTCAGGGACCCAAGTAGATTGTTAAAAGCCTAAAGATGTCCCTTAGATTCTTCCTGTACTCTCACTGTACTGCTTGCCTCTCTTACAGCATTTATCAAAAGCTGCTTTGTATTATAGTGCAAGTCAGACTTTGGGTTAGACCAAAAAATGCCCCCCCCCCCCAAAAGATATCTACATCTACCTCCTGGAACATGTGAATGTTTCCCTATTTGAAAAAAGTATCTTTGCAGATGTGACTAAGTTAAGGATCTTGCAATAGGGAGATTACCCTCAATCCAAGTCGGTTCTAAATGTTATCACACCTGTCCTTATACATATAGAGGAGAAGACACACAGAAAACAAAGAGGCAGTGTGACCATGAAGGCAGAGATTGGGGAGAGGCAGCCACAAGTCAAGGAAGGCCAACAGCCACCTTCCAGAAGCTGGAAGAGGCAAAGAGTAGATTCTCCTCTAAAGCCTCCAAAAGGAATGCCACCCTGCTAACGCCTTCATTTTGGACTTCTGTTGTCCAGAACTGTGAGAGAACTTCTGTTGTTTTAAGCCACCCACTTAGTAGTAATTTGTTACAACAGTCACAGGAAACTAATACACCCTTCCAGTGTTATTTCCTATCACTGGATTCATGGCATTTATCACAAGTTGTAATTCCTTGTTTGTTCACTTGTTTGTTGTGTCTCACCCCAGTAACATGTAAGCTCCAAGAAGACGGGGCCTTTCCTGTGCAGCTAGCTCTTAGCAGTGTCTAGAATATATTGCATTCTTAAGAATTATCTGTTATATGAATGAATAGATAAATATCCCTTCATTAAATAAGTCTTATAAGACAGAGACCATGTCTATTGACCACAATTCCCAAAAGCCCCAGCACAGAGCCTTGCAAAAAACTGTTGTTGAGCTAGGTTTGAGCTCTAGAGATCAGAAAGTCTGGGTTCTAGATATTGTACTGCAATTTACAGGTATGTGACCGTCCCACCTCGAGGCTGTATGCATCTAGTATTGGAGGAGGTGTTGGAGTAAGTTTGTTGCTTATCTGCTCTTCTTAGTCCTGATAAGAGCAAATCCAGAGAGCATTCATTTTCTCACTCTGTTCATGGTCCACAGTGCTTGGCATATTGCAGGGACAACAAATATTTGAGACTTTGGGTGAATTTCAATATCAGACTAAGCCATACCAGAGAGTGAGTACTGCACCCTTGAGTACATTCCTAATCAACCCTGAAGCTCATTCTCAACAGAAAGGCTGAAAACCTCAATATTCTCAACCTTTAAACCTCAGGGGGGTGGGAACCCCTGAACCACTCGTTCTATAGCGGCTCCGTGAGTGGTACCTGATTGTTAATAACCCTGTGCCACTGACCGAACTCAGCCTGAGGCCAGCATCAGCAATGCGTCCCGCCCCAGCTCCATTGCTTCTTGGCCACGGACCCACCTTGGGCGAGCTGGTTTACCCGTCTGAGCCACAGCTCCTCAGCCAAAAGCTGACAATAACATCTACCTTGTAAAAGCAGTTCTGACATAGAAACTAAATGAAGTAACCCAAGTTTTAGACTTAGAAAGCCTGGCTTAATAATGTAATTCTTTTGAGCAAAACACAAAAACCACCCTTGGCTTTTGAACACGTGTGGTGATCTTGAGTTCACACTCCCACTTCCTCGGGCCTTCTGAAATGACGGAAGGGGCTACCACACCCTACTATTGCCTCAAGGAACCAAAGTTTGGGAACCTTCGAACGGAAGGCCACGTGGGGGTTCCAGGGTTCCATTACTCGTTCCTTCAGCAACCTACCCGTTCCCAGTGTTTACAACGAGAGCCCAAGCCGAAGCGTCGGGTTTCCAGAAGAGTCCGGCACCTGCGGCGGCCCTAAGCCAGGCTAAGCAGCGCTTTCCCGCAGACCCGGGTCAGTACCTAAGGAGGGGGCGCGGCACAGCGCGGGCGGCCCAGGGAGTCGCAGAGGCTCCCTCAGTTGCCGGGGTAACGCCGACGTCACCGCGCAGCCTCGGGTACCCGGGGACCCGCAGCCCACACAGCGCAGCGCGCAGGCGCCTCCTGAGAGCCAATGGGCGCGGCAGGAATGTTGGCGCCGCTCAGCGCCCCTTCCG